TGCATGAAATGTTCCCTTGATATCTCCAATTTTCTTGAAGAGATCTCTAGTCTTTCCCATTCTAGTGCTTATCTATATTTTATATAGTTCTTCTGAGTATTCTTAATTAAAAGAAAAGCTAGCATTAATTGAGTGCTATGTGCCAGCCAGTGGACAAACTGTTTTACAAATACTGCTTTTTAAGCAAGACAATCTCTTGGTATAGGTACTACTGTTCTCATTCTAGAGATTAAGTAATTGGGAATCCAAGAGGTAAATAACTTGCCTGAGGTCACGCAGCCTAGTGAATTGTAGAATCAGGATATGACCTACTCTCTGTAGAACCCGCTTTATCTGCACAACAATAACAGCCATGCTTAGTTTAACAGGTACAGACTTACAGTAACACAAGCTTGCAGAACTATGCCATTTTTTCCCAGCAAAGTTAACTGTTGATGTCATCTAGGATTAACTGAGGATTGACCTTGTTGTAGTGGCTAAAGTATGGTCCTGTAAAGGAACTGAGGTTACTGAAGAGTCCCATGGAAATGGATATTAGACTAGGAAGCAGAGATAGTTCTGCCAGTTGAGGGCTGATGTTTTAGAAAAACTGAGCTATACTGACAGACAAGGGAATTTAATAAAGACAAAGGAAGAGACTGAGGGAAGGTCAAGAGGTGAGAAAAATTAAAGAATAGGAAATGTAAAAGAAAAATTAAAGAATAGGAAATATAATCAAAATGGGAATTGTATTAGATTTTAAAGGTTGAGTTATGGAGGTCAAAATGATTGACACCATCAACTTCCAATCCATCCCAGTGATTAGACTAAATGAAACATGGTAATCCCAGTCTCTCTATCAAAGATTGATTTAGGACGAGGCCTGTAGTCTAGTCTTGGTGGAATGAGGGAAAGTCTGCTGGGGAGCTTCTGGGAATGTTTTCCATCACTACAGAAGAGAGGCACACAAAAAAACTCAGCGCCCTTCCTCCTTTGGATGCTATATGTCTTGGTCCCTTGCTACCAGCTTAAGGTCAAAGCTAATACAGACAGGAGGACAGAGACCGGAGGGATTGTGGAATAACAAAATCAACCCTGATGAATATGCCTAAAGCTGCCTTAGGTCTTAAATTTTATTATGTGAGTTATAAATGACCTTATCTTCTAAAGCAAATTTAAACTGGGCTTTATGTTCATAGCAACCACTCCAGTATTCCTGGGCTTCCCTTGTGGCTCAGCTGGTAAAGAATCCACCTGCAATGAACTAGACCTGGGTTCAATCCCTGGGTTGGGAAGATCCCCTGGAGAAGGGAAAGGCTACCCCCTCCAGTACTGTAGCCTGAAGAATCCCATGGTCTGTAATAGTCCAGGGGGTTGCAATTTATGTTCATAGCAGCCAAAGGCATCCTAAATGATTCAGAGGTAGTTTCAGATGACAGTATATTTTTACAAATGTAAGTGACTAATAATGAGTGAATTCCAGTCCCCTATGATGAAAAGGACATCTTTATTTTTGCTGTTAGTTCTAGAAGGTCTTGTAGGTCTTCATAGAACCATTCAACTTCAGCTTCTTCAGCATTAGTGGTTGGGGCACAGACTTGGATTACTGCGATATTCAATAGTTTGCCTTGGAAATGAATAGAGATCATTCTGTCATTTTTGAGATTGCACCTAAATACCATATTTCAGACTAATTTGTTGACTATGAGGGCTACTCCATTTCTTCTAAATAGAACTACTACTAAGCCCACAGTAGTAGATGTAATGATCATCTGAATTAAATTTGCCCATTCTGGTCAATTTTAGTTTGCCGATTCCTAAATTGTTGATGTTCACTCTTGCCATCTCCTGTTCGACCACTTCCATTTTACCAAAAAAAAGATGTCCTTTTCATCATAGGGGACTGGAATGCAAAAGTAGGAAAGTCAAGAGAAACCTGGAATAACAGGTAAGTTTGGCCTTGGAGTGAAAAATGAAGCAGGCCAAAGGCTAATAGAGTTTTGCCAAGAGAATGCACTGGTCATAGCAAACATCCTCTTCCAACAACACAAGTAACAACTCTGCACATGGACATCACCAGATGGTTGATACCAAAATCAGATTGATTATATTCTTTGCAGTCAAAGATAGAGAAGCTCTATACAGTCAGCAAAAACAAGACCGGCAGCTGACTGTGGCTCAGATCATGAACTCCTTAATTCAGACTTAAACTGTAGAAAGTAGGGAAAACCATTGGATCATTCAGGCATGACCTAAATCAAATCCCTTACAATTATACAGTGGAAGTGACAAATAGATTCAAGGGATTAGATCTGATAGACAGAGTGCCTGAAGAACTATGGATGGAGGTTCATGACACTGTACAAGAGGCAATGATCAAAACCATCCCCAAGAAAAAGAAATGCAAAAGGCAAAATGGTTGTCTGAAGAGGCCTTACAAATAGCTGAGAAAAGAAGAGAAGTGAAAGGCAAAGGAGAAAAGGAAAGACATAGCCATTTTGGCTATATATGTAGCCCCTCTACATTCTGGAATGTCGAGTTCCAGAGAATAGGAAGAAGAGATAAGAAAGACTTCCTAAGTGATCAATGCAAAGAAATAGAGGGAAAAAATAGAACTGAAAGACTAAAGATCTCTTCAAGNGTCCGTCTGGTCAAGGCTATGGTTTTTCCAGTGGTCATGTATGGATGTGAGAGTTGGACTGTGAAGAAAGCTGAGCGCCGAAAAATTGATGCTTTTGAACTACGGTGGTGGAGAAGATTCTAGAGAGTCCCTTGGACTGCAAGAGACCCAACCAGTCTATCCTAAAGGAAATCAATCCTGAATATTCATTAGAAGGACTGATACTGAAGCTGAAGCTCCAAAACTTTGGCCACCTGATGCGAAGAACTGACTCATTGGAAAAGACCCTGATGCTGGCAAATATTGAATGTGGGAGGAGAAGGGGATGACAGAGGATGAGATGGTTGGATGGCATTACCAACTTATTGGACATGAATTTGAGCAAGGTCTGGGAGTTGGTGATAGGCAGGGAAGCCTGGCATGCTGCAGTCCATGGGGTCACAAATAGTCGGACATGACTGAGTGCCTGAACTGAACTGAACATGGAGTAAAATCTGAAACCGACAAGCAAAAGATGAGAATGGTGGTATCCAAATAGTATGAGTGTTAGCGGAGGGAAAATTCTGGATTCTTGAAGTAAGAGGAATGGACTAGGAATGGCAATGGTGTGGGATGCTAAAAGACATCGTTACATATGTAATAATAAAATTAATATATTCATTTAATCAACTAAAAATACCAGAATTGTGCCTTGTAGTGGAATACATAGTAAGCAAAAGTAGACACAGTGTCTGCCCCAACAAAGCTTTGAGTCTAATGGGGGATACAGACATTAATCAAATAATCATGCAACCATATATAAAATTATATCTGTTACAAATAAAAGGACATACGCTACAAAAGAGAGGAGATTTCTAGGTCAAGATGGGAAAATGAACAAACTCCAACTCATTTTCTCCCATTCTGAATGAAGATAAATGCTACAGAGAAAGAGAGAGAGAAAAGTCTTAAGGAATGAAAAACAGAGAAGGAACCCACAGTGCTTAGTAGGAATCTAAGTCAAGAAGCTGACAGAAGACCCAGATGAGATGCATGCTTTGGGGCTGGGATTTTTACTGTTAATGGATACAAAGTTTCAGGAAGATAAAAATGTTCTGGAAGTAGACTGTAGTGATGTTTATATACTCTCTGAATATATTAAAATCCACTAAATTATAGACTTTAAAAAGGGTGAATTTAATGATATTTGAATTATAGCTTAATTTTAAAACTTGAAGAACTCTGTACAGAGACATAAAACACTGGCTGTCTTATTTGGGACAGGAAAACTCCCTAAATGAATCCATAAATTTTGTGCAGGTCCAATCAAAATCTTAATAGGACTTTTTTTTAACTTGACAAAATGATTGTAAATTTCATTTGGGAAATGATTGACTCCAAAGGAAGAAAATCTGGAAAATATAAAACTTAAGTTGATTGGGGTGGTTGAATTAGTTCCCCTGGATATTAGGTTGTATGTGTTGAAATGTTACAGTGTTTAGAAGCATATTCAGTGAGGTATTGTTCAATTTTTAAGCTTTAAAATAACGTGAATATGTTACTTTTAAATAACAAAACAACAAATCAAACAAAAAGCAAAATAAATAAAAATTATGCATCTCCTCCAATGCTACTTTATTCTGTTTCAAGCTAACATCCATCTTCTATCAATATATCCTTATATGCATAATTTCAAGTCATTTTTTAGCCTTGTTGATTTTCTCTGAATATAAATTAATTTATGAAAAGCCTCTTTAGAGTTTGGAACCTAACCTGAATATATTTGATGTGGAGTGATTGGCACAAAATAAAGGTTTATTTAATTGCTTAATCTGGCTATTTCATTTACATTAATGCATCCTAGAATCATATTAGCCCCATGGGGCAACTAATTCATAATGTTGACGGATACTGCATCAACAACTAGTGGCCGAAGCCATGTGAGTTGTTCATAATCAGTGCTGCTAAGACAAAGCTATCATCATTTTGTCCCTTGCACGGTATTATTTGGAATAAAGTATGTTACCTTACTTTTATTCCCATCATATTTCCCATTGCTCTAGTTGTCCCAATCCTTTGTGTTTGATGTAATCATTCAATGTATTCATAAACTTGGCCAACTCTGTGATATCTGAAAATCTGTGAGGAACAATCCCAGTCACTGATGAAAATGCTCATCAGGATATCTTGGGGAACACAAACAGCAGAAGATACGGAAATCTCCATAGACATTAATTAGTCCCCATCATGTTTCTGGCGTCTAACCCAAAGGCGCTCAGATCTCAGTATAGTTGAGAGTCACTTGGGCAGCTTTGCAAAATTCCTGGGCTCGTTCCGAGAGCTTCTGATGCGGCAGGTCTAGAGTGAGGCCCAGCGACTGGGGATCAAACTTGACATCCACAGGACCCACTTTCAGATTTACCTGAGACTGTATCTCTCTGACTCGACAGTGATAAGCACACTGAAGAGGTCACGTCATGCACCTTGTTGAAGGCCAGAAGATACAGCGGCTGTTGTGTTCACTTCATCCACCAGCCTGGCTGCCTGTGAAAGAACAGAATGGAGTTAAAATGAAATAAAAACCAAGTTATTTTCCTATGAACAATGCTGCCTATGTACTCACAAACCATTTTTTAATATTCAGTCCAAGAAGCTTACTTTCATGCATTTTTATTCAATCAATAAATATTTGGGGAGCCTAGTAAATGCTAAATATTATGCTAGTTAAAATTCCTACCAGTGGTATGAGTTTTTCATTGTACCTGTTGTTCACAATGGTCTTATAATTCTTCACTGCACTTAACCTGACAAGATAGAATAAAAATATTTATGCTATTTTAATTTTCAATTTTATTATCTTCCATAAAGAACTGGAAAACTTTTCAAAGTTTTCTTGACCATTGCAAATTCCCTAGATTCTCATCTATCAACTACTGCATTTATTTTTTTCCTAATAAACATGTAAATTACCACTTGTTATTTTTAATCTGTATGTGGGCTGCTGATAGTTTTCTGTTTCTCCGTTTCTGTGTTCGTTTTCTTTTAACCTTTTTATGACACTTTCCTTTTACAGCAAATACGTTTCTAGTTCTTATGCAGACAAAGCTAACAATCATTTTACTGTAGAATAAGTCTCCTACATACGAATGAGTTCCATTCTGAGAGCATTCTGTTAGTAAGTCCAACAAAGTCAGCCAAGGTACCCAACTAACACAATAGGCTGTACAGTACTGTGCTTAATATGTTTATAATTTTTATGCAAATAACATATAATTCTAAAAACCCACAAAAAATAAAGAAAACATCTTCAATCTTACAGTACAGTGCCTTGAAACGTACAGTAGCACAGTACAATGGTTGGCATACAGGAGCTGGCACGGAGCGAGCAGGCAAGAAGAGTTACTGACGGGGGGAGGGAGAGGAGGTGGGAGATGGTGGAGGTGAAGGATCATTAACAATAAGAGACGGCGGGCAAGCTGCAGTTTCACTCACTCCTGACGCTGATGGCACAGGGTCTGGAGTCTATTCTGTCTACCATCTTAAACAATCCAGTGATCGTTATAAGGTAATAGCTTTTTTTTTCTTGCCATTGATTACACAGTAGCAGAGGATTGCATTCTTAATGGCTGCACAACCTTCATGCACTGTTCTACATTTGGGTTCTGTGCCTCAAAAATTAAGAGTGTGTCCTCAAATAAAGAAAATCCCCTTGCCATTTCGTGTGTCATCAGTCTCTTCGGTTCTTCAGTCACTTCTTCCTCTTGTCTCTGTCCTTTCTTGGGCCCTCAATTCCATCAGGTCTTCATTAGTCAGCTCTTCCTGTTGCACAGCAGGGAGTTCAGTGAAGTCATCCTCTTGCCAATATAGCTCCAGCTTCTCCCTGAGGATCACCAAGTTGCTGAAGACCTCCTTGAATTCCTCACTCACCTTCTTAAATCCACAAAAGTCAAGAACAAACTGAGGGCAAAGATTCCTCCAAGCCCTACTCAGGTTGATGGCTATAACCTCATGCCAAGAGAAGCTGATGTTTTTTATGGCCTTGTAAATTGTCACAAGGTTGTTCCAGATTCATCACTCACCTTTACTGCCTGACACAAAGGGTGATGTAAGCAATCTCTCTTGATAGTTGCTTTCACTCCCTGGCCCATAGGTTGGATGCTGTGCTTAGTCACTCAGTCATGTCTGACTCCTCACAACCCCATGGACTGCAGCCCACCAGGCTTCTCTGTCCATGGGGATTCTCCAGGCAAGAATACTGGAGTGGGTTGCCATGCCCTCCTCTGGGGGATCTTCCCAACCTGGGGACCAACCAAGGTCTCCTGCATTGCAGGCAAATTCTTTACCAGCTGAGCCGCCAGGGAAGCACAGATTGGATGAGCAACATAGTATTCAGTGGCAGATGCACTACTTTGACATCGTCCATGACTTTCATCCATGCTCCCAGGCTTCCCTGGCCTGGAGCATTGTCAAGCAGCAAAATGTTGAATGGGATGTCCTTCTCCAAGTAATATTCCTCTACCTTCAGGATAAAGTGGTGGAAAAACTAGCCCTGGAAAATGGCCTGTGTAATATAGGCGATGGGGTTACTCTTCCACCCAACTCAAGAGAGCCCATGGCTGTGTTCTGACGGGCTCTTTGGTTTTCTGAATGATAAACTAAGAGGCTTCAACCTCATATCGCCGGAAACATTGACACCAAACAACACAGTTAGCCTATCTTTGCTGCTTTATAGCCTGGCACCAACTTTTCCTCATCACTGATGTACCTTTGATCTGGCATCCTCTTCCAGGACAGTCCTGCCTCATGAACATTAAAACCTGCCTGGGTAAATACACACTTTCATCAGTTTCTTGAAGTGCTTCAATAAATTACCTGGCAGGTACGGTATCTGCACTCACTGCCTCATCACTTACTTTTACATTGTGAAGGTTAGCTCTAGCCTTGAACTGATTAAACCTGTCATGGCTGCTATTAAAAGACACCCCCTCTGATTCTTTGATGAGGATTCAAGATGAGGATGTGCACCCATCTTCTCCTGCAAGAACTCCAAAATTACAACTCACTGACGAACAACCATTGACAGAAGAATGGTGGATCACACCAAAAAAAGATACCCCACATCCAGAGTCAAAGGAAAAGCCCCAGGAAGATGGCAGGAGGGGCAAAATCGCATTTGGAATCAAACTCCATACCCGCTAGAGATGCTCTGAGGGCTCAAACAAACCTTGTGTGTACCAGGACCCAGAGACCCCACAGAGACTGAGCCAGAACTGTATTTGAGTGTCTCCTGCAGAGGTACGGGTTAGCAGTGGACTGCTGCAGGGGCAGGGGCTCTGGGTGCAGTAGACCTGGGTATGGTATAAGCCCTCTTGGGGGAGGTCACCCTTAACCCCACCACAGAGCTGCTAGAACTTACAGAGGACTGGGGAAACAGACTCTTGGAGGGCACAAACAAAAGCTTGTGTGCACCAGGACCCAGGAGAAAGGACAGTGACCCCACAAGAGACTGACCCAGACATGCCCGAGAGTGTCCAGGAGTCTGCGGCAATAGTGTGGGTCGGTGGTGGCCTACTGCAGGGTTGGGGGCACTGAGTGCCACAGTGCCTGCATGGACCTTTTGAAGGAGGTCACCATTACTTTTATTACCTCCACCATAGTTTGGCCTCAGGTCAAACAACAGGAAGCATAGCCCTGCACATCAATAGAAAATTGGATATAAGATTTACTGAGCATCGCCCTGCCCATCAGAACAAGACTCAGTTTCCCGCTCAATCAGTCTGTCCCACCAGGAAGCTTCCATAAGCCTCTTATCCTTCTCCATCAGAGGGCAGGCAGACTGAAAACCATAATCACAGAAAACTAACCAATCTGATCACATGGACCACAGCCTTGTCTAACTCAGTGAAACTATGAGCCATGCCATATAGGGCCACCCAGACGGACGGGTCATGCTGGAGAGTTCTGACAAAACATGGTCCACTGGAAAGGGAACGGAAAAACCACTTCAGTATTCTTGCCTTGAGAAACCCATGAACAGTATGAAGAGGCAAAAAGATAGGACACCAAAGACGAAACTCCCTAGGTCGACAGGTGCCCAATATGCTCCTGGAGGTCAGTGGAGAAATAACTCCAGAAAGAATGAAGAGAAAGAGCCAAAGCAAAAACAACACCAAGTTGTGGATGTGACTGGTGATAGAAGTAAAGTCCGATGCTGTAAAGAGAAATACTGCATAGGAACCTGGAAAGTTAAGTCCATGAATCAAGGCAAATTGGAGTGGTCAAACAGGAGATGGCAAGAGTGAACATTGACATTTTAGGAATCAGCAAACTAAAATGGACTGGAGGGTGAATTTAACTCATATGACCATTATATCTACTACTGTGGGCAGGAATCCCTTAGAAGAAATGGAGTAGCCATCATAGTCAACAAAAGAGTCCAAAATGCAGTACTTGGATGCAATCTCAAAAA